GTTGATAACGAAATCCAAACTAGTATTGTTATTACAATTTTCAGCCTATTTATTAATATTTTTTCAAACATATTTGATATTGTAGGAAGTAGATTTATAGGTCTTTGATTTTATATCTTTCGGAGCCTTTCCTGGTTTAGGAAGATTATTTGATATTTTCCATTAAGAGGTTCTTACAATAAAACTAAAGATAATTGTAAGGTACAGTAGATTTAGTAGTTCTGTAATGTTTTCCTTCTGGTTAAATCGTATCCAGGTATATTTTTATTCGGTTATTGACGAGTGTTGTAATAATATATGGCATTATTGGTTAATAAACAAACATTTCTATTTTGATTCGCGGTTTTTTGGAGTCCTTTCCGATGGATATGGTCTTGTCTTTATTGCTTCTAGCTCACATACCATTTTCTTACCGAATTGGCGGAACTCAACTTTTAGAGTTGATAATTTACCTGAAAGTATCCACTTTAGTTAGCATCCGATTTCCGAGATAATCTTATTCGCAGCTTTATTTAGTTTAAACAATAAATTTAAATATATAAATGGACCAAAAGGACCAAAAAACAATAATTCTAAATGTTATCTAACATTTTTTATTGGTCAAATTGCTGTAATTATCTTATTTTTATTTGGCATAATTATCATTGAGCAAAAAATATGTGGGATCGATTTGAAAGTAAATTAAGAAATGGAATTACGTCGCGTTTCAGTGTTAATTGCATAATTAATCCGATGAAAAAAAAAATAATAAAGGAACAAATAAAATGTAAGCGGACAAAGGCGACGGGAATAATTGTATTCCGAGCACATTTTTCATCGTCGCTGCTACCATTCATGTAACAGTAAAAAAAATTGAATGTTCTCGACGACGTTGAAAAAAAGAAGAAAAAAAAGCTAACAAAGAAGTGATCCGCTTTATTCGAATAAATGGGGATAATTGTTTATGCATAGGAATCAACTTGCTGTTATTGCAATATAGTGTTCCTCGATATTTATTTGCAATAATCAGTTATGTGATAGCAGTTTGCCCATGAAGTGTATATTTCTTTTGCCGCGAATCTGCAACGTATTTGTAACCTTAACATATTCGGAATTCTAATTAGTTTTTATTTGAATGCGGGCCAGAATCGCTACTGAACCGAAATTATATTCTATAGAAAATAAAACAACAACAGAAACGCGTGTGCTATTGTTTTGCGAGGTGAGTAGTCATTTAGTCTTAATTTAATTTAATTTGGTTTTAAGTTTATTTTTTGCACCTCTATTGAAAATTATGACTGTATTTCTTTATGACTGTATCAATATTGTTAATATTTGGAGCAAATTTCCTATTATGGTATAATTTAGTATAATGTAAATTATGGACTAAAAGTTATGAAACTTTCTGTATTAATAAAGTAGTACATCAATACCTCGCATACTGCGGTTATGTGATCTGCCAATATAATGTTTCAAACTGGACTAAACGAGGACTTTAAATCCATTTAAAAATTAACAGCACAATAATCTGAAGACAAAATAATTTTGTTTTCTAATTATTTTATAATATATTTTATAAAAAAAAATGTTATTATATCAATAAGATCGAAAGTCTTTACTATTATTAAATATGTAGATTATATAAAACAGGGCTTCCCAAACTTTTCCTGCAACGGAACACTTCGTAAATTCTAAAATTTTCACGAAACATCAATAAAATGAGATAAAAACATTCATCATTAAAATTAGCGATTTTCACGGAAACATAGTTTAAATAAATCGTTACCATTGATTTTGCAAATTAAAGTAAATAATGCATTATATAAGATTGTGTACAATTGCATTAATATTTTGTGAAAATAATCCTTAATTAGGTGTTATAGATAATTGTTTAAATCATTTTACTGCTAAGAAATTCCAGTGAATTTTGTATTTCTTTTTTTTTCCGGAGAAAATCGTAAAATGCCCTACTACAAGGCAACTGCGAAATCGAAAATGGAAATCCTCAATATGAATTGAGCAGCAAATAAATCAATACTTTTTATGTATAAGTATAGTGCGAATGCTACCGTTCCAGAATTTTTAATCGTAAAGTGAAACATTTTTTCCTTATCAGCAAACACAAATTATATTTGCAAATTCTAGTCCGCTATAAACAAAGATAACAAAAAAATATATCTGAACAAAATTTTACAAAAATGATGTGATGCGGGACTTCTCTTCTCCTCGTCACCCGTTGTGCGAAACGTCGCTCGTTAAGCGAGTTATTTTTGTTAGATTTTATTTTGCTTGTTATGCAAAATAATCATTATGTGAGGTTCTACTGTATATTCTTCCATGGGTGCGCCTAATTTGTGGAAAAATAATCTAATAGTGCAACAGTTTTTGCTTTTTAAATGATCTTTCACTGTAGACCTTACCCTTACGAGGATTCCTTGATTGTTTGACGTGGATCGGACTCCAACCAATGAGTTTAAAGTGACATCATAGATCTTAAGAGAACTCCCTGAATTTCGTTTATCCTGAACTCTCTTCATCATTTTGGAACTTTAGAAACCATTTATAGGACTTTCGTGGATTCAACTTGTCAAAACAATTACAAATAGAGCTTCAAGACGATACCAAACACGACATATGTCGGTGATCGATGCCGTTGTTTGAAAACGCACTAATTGAAATTATGATATACAGTGAAACCTCGCTTAACGAACACCTCTCATAAGTAGCATTTTGCTTAATGAGCAAAATTAGTTGTTAGAAAAATGACTCGCTTAACGAACAACGTTTCGCATAACGAGTGACGGATTGCGCGCCTGCTACATCATTTTTAAAACTTGTGTACACATATTGTGTGTATTTTTTAATATGATTAACTATACGAGTATTTCACTATACAAGTAAAAACGTACGAGAACAACAGGCGAAAAACGCAATCGCCAAGCCCGGTTTTGCTGTGTGTTCGGTGGGATTGGAAGGGAATCCTCCACTATGAACTGCTCTCATCGGGACGAGAAGCGTTCAAAATTGGCCAATAGGAAGAGTATTGTGTTACATCAAGATATTGCCAGGCCGTACACATCTTTAAAGACGCGAGAGCTTGGATGGGAGGATACGGCACCAATCACCATTTCAAGCATTTGCAAAATTTTCTTGATGGTAAAAAACTGGATTTAAGAGAGGCTTGTGAAAATGATCTGGTCAAGTTCTTTACCAATATAAACGAGGATTTCTTCAATCGCAAAATTATGAAATTGCCTTCAAAATGAACAAAAGTTATCGAACAAAACAGCGCATATTTAATCTAAATCCTAAAATTATAACTTTGTTAATTTCATCGTCAAAATAAAGAGAAAAAAAGCTCAGAACTTTTGACTACACCTAATATTATTAATATTAAATATTCAAATTAACGGAAAGCTCATGCTGTGCAACTGCATAAGTATATATCTTACAATTTAATACTGAAGCGTTAAGTATTGCTTTTCATGATTGCAGATGATATTCTAGTAAATTAATATGCAAATTGAAGCTAAAAACAATAAAATACAATAAAACAGACGTTCCCAAACTGTGTCCCGCCTTTGCTACAAGGGCGCCATGAAAATGGAAAAAAATTACTATTAACATAAAGTTCACCCTGAGATAGACCAATGTTTTGAGCAATGCATTAAGGGTGTTTTAAACCGAACAAATTTTGGGAATCGCTGCTATAGAGCATAATTTCTGAACTTTTTTGATGACTTCCAAATTGTTTTAATGACCGTCGAAAATGTGATAAATATTTAATGAGCCGGTTGGTGGTTAACATTGAAATAAAAACCAACTTAGTAAATAATTTAATGTTATAATGTTACATTTTTGCGGTAAAAAAATGACTAAACCATGACTAAACCGCGGATAATAAACACTGCTTTAAATAGTGTCTGTAGAATGGTTGCATTCCTTGATAATTTTGGATTTCATTTATAATGCTGATTATGTTAATTGTAACTAAGAATATAGAGTATTACATATAACGGGTCTTCATCAAAATCCCGACAACCGAAATACCGTCAATCGAAATCCCGACGTTCAAAATCCCGAATATATCAAACGAATGTATCAAAATCCCGAAAATTTCTACAATAACATTTTTAATAAGAATAAATTATTATTTTGTTGAATTATTCATAATAAAAATTAGTTGTTAATATGTTGTTATTTATTATTAATAACAATTTAAATATTTTCGATATAGTCGGGATTTTGATACAGTCGGGATTTTGGTTGTCGGGATTTCAATACAGTCGGGATTTCGAACGTCGGGATTTCTATACAGTCGGGATTTCGATTGCCATCGCATATAACATATATTTTTTTATTATTTTTATTATTATTTTAAAATTACGTTGTGCCAAATTAATGAGACTTCTGTTGCTGAATACACTTCACTAATTTTTATATTCGCATGCAAAAGTTAATTCGGAGTAAATTAATATTGACCGTTGTGGAAAATTGCTTTTTGCCCAGATGTGTGGTAGCAAATGCAATAAAACAGGTGCTGATATTCCTTCCGAATTTGTATCCAAAATTGTACAAAAGTTTTATTCCTGAAAAAACTGAAATCCTTTGTCAATTCAAGCAGAGTGTCATCGTGGGTTGGTGGTAAATTGATATTATCCCAGTTATGAAGATAATCTACAATTTTGTGCTATCAAGTTCATTATATGAAATATATTTGTGAATTTTTCTATCTATCAACTCTTAAAAGCGTCCTTTTAATGATGCTTTTCAGTATAATTCCAGATCGTATTCTTAGCAGCGAATATGCAGATTGAAGTTCGTCGTGTAGGGGAGAAATGATATATGAATGATATCGTAATGATAGCTGCTGCATCAAATGAAGTTTTTGCGACGTGGGGAATTTATTCTTAATTTAATTCGATGCAAATGAAAGGCCTTAGTGATTGCCGTGTTCGGCGATGTACGCGTGCGTCGTGTAGACGGGCGCCGCGACGCCGGCGTTCCTGTTGCCATCCTCGTCGCGCCCACGTCGGACATACCGTTCCATCTTTCTCGTCCCGTTTTCCATTCACATCGCAGAGCCTCCTGCCTGTCTTTTCCAGAGTGCATCCGAAGGAAATCGATAACACCGGATCCACGCGCGTTCGTCTCTGTCTAGCACGTAGAGAGGGCGCGATTCCATCGCCACCCTGTTTTCGCGCACATCCAAAAACGACTGGAAGATCGTTTTCTCGTTCGGGGGTTGCCGCCTCCTGCTGCTAGTGGCCGCACTCGCGCTGCCGCCCGTCGACCCAGCTGGGTACGAACGACACCGCACTGGACGTCGGCACGGATCCGGATAAACGACGTCGGCACCAAACGTAGCATATACACTCATCGGAGCACCCGATTCTGCTCAGTTCGTGGGTGAATTTCGTTCCGCCAAAGACGTCCTCTTCATCATTTCGCTTCAATCGCACGCGTCTGTGGTCCTTCCACACAGTTTTATATGTGTTTTTTTTTCCGTTTGGTGGTTTGAATTATTTTTTTCCCATTGACCATCATCGTCGAAGACTGGAAGCATGAAGATGGTCACCTAACTTCTTAGTTTCTACTAACTTAGGCACCATTTGATTATTTTTGTTTTATTTGAATTTAATAATCGATTACCGCACATCAGGAATAACAACTCACTATCAAATAGGTAATATTTCAATTTACTACAAAGCCGCTTCGAGCAAATTACATTACATGTTTAATACAAACATTTATTTACTACCTTATCACATTCATTTTCAAATTCTCTTCATGAGATGTATTTATAATATTAAATGTATTTATAAAGTATTGACTGAAATTTTGTATCAAACATGCTCAAATTTTATTTGTATAATCATCATATCTTTTTATTGGGTACTTTCGTACAGTAAAAAGAGATTTTTATATTCATATCACGTTTTTCATAGCAAAGAAACATGAAAATATATTCCTAGATAATACAAATAGTTTCTTTCATTACTATAATTGCAACTTTCATATATCTATTTGGTAAATTTTTACGCTATAATTTGAATATTCATATCAAATTTTCATAATGTAAGATGAACTGGTTGGAATATATTTTTAATAATAATTTTAATTTGTATTTAAAAATTTAATAATTTTATTCAAGTTAATTTTTAAAGATTTTAAGAGGCGAAAATGATGTAATAAAGGATGGGACTGGAAAACTAAATTATCTAACAGTTATTAGTTTACTTTAGATTTCAGTATTTGAAGTCACGATAATGTGATTTATTTAAAACGTAAATTTATAAACACATTTATATCATATTTTCATCATAATTTTAGTTATATATTCCAAATATAATTTACATGATTTCTGAAAGCATAAGAATTATTGCAATTGTTGATGTGTTTTTTTTTTTCAGATCTTTTCAGTAAACTTTGATATAGACTTAAGTAGATGTATAAAACACATAGTTTTAATTTTTCTTAATTTAATTACCAAATTTTATTTATTATATTTTAGTCTTTTAATTTGTAGCTTTTATGAAATCAATAATTGATGATGATTTGAGAAAATTTGATGGAAACAAATAATTTTATCATGCATTTGCAAAAAAAACCTCAGAGAATTACAAGAACCACTACCATGGTTTTATCCATAAAAATAACATTTTAATTATGAATTATGTACTAAAAAATGGATATCATTAATGTTTAATTATGTTAACATAATAAACTATAATAACATTTTAAATTTCGTTTTATTAAAAAGGAATTAACAGAAACAATTATTATTTGAACATTTAAATATGATACAATTTTTGAGTTAATGTACTTTTACTTAATAAACCCGCGAGTTGTGTCAATTTTACAGACAAAATGTAGACACAGAAAGGAATTACAAACGTCACAGAAATTACTAAAATTTAGTTGTATTCATAAAAAGTAGTTCAAACGTCTTACTAAGTTGCCTAAATTTACCTAAGTTTACCAACTTTTTGCATCGAATCAAATATCTCTGATAATATGCATTATATAAGCTTAATCTATTTTTATTAATGTGTCATTATCTAATGATAACAGGTTTATAATGAAGATTTAGAATATTTTGTTAGAACTGTGTAAACAAAATTATTTTTACTATAATATTTAAGCAGATTTATTTAGCCCTTTTTGATTAAGATGAAAATTAGTAAAAAAAAATAGAATTACTGTACTGTATGATTAGGTTACAAAATTGCTATTTAAATTAACTTATATACAGTAGAAACTCGCTTAACGAGTGACTTTTCGCATAACTAGTGACGATGAGAAGAGAAGTTTCGGACTGTGCGCGCCTGCTACATCATTTTCAAAACTTGTGTATTTTTGAATATATTAAAAATCTTTTCTTTGTCATCTTTGTTTATAGCAAATTATACTTTGCAAATATAATTTGTGTTTGGAGTGAAAGCAAAACAAAAATGTATTGTGTCCAACCATTATTGTAATAAATAAACAAACTGTGTACGCTTTTTTGTATATAAACAAATATAAACAGAGTTCTTTGTGTTAGAAATAATTCTAGTTGTAACTTAGTATTGTTTGCGATTACATATTGAAAATATGTTTTCGGTCATGTTATGATCTTTTTTTTTATGCAAAATGTAATAACACTTTCATATCTCCGAATAAAAAGCCAAAGAATATAAAATAAGAATAGATATTAAAAGCAAAATCATTGAGAAACGATACCAAGTTATTCTTTATTTTCGGCATAGAATGTATTATCGTATCTTTTACATTAGTTTATATGTGGAAAATTGTTTCATTATACAAGTAAAAGACCGGAAATTTTAGAACAGATTATGAGATTCCACTGTATTTTAGATAATGAATTTATGTTTGTGATTAAATCTCATTCTAATAAATATTATAGCTTGCTTGCTTTTTCTCACTCAATGTGGTTTTGTTATAGACATTTTAAACAAAACACTTCTCGAATAAGTTCAATAAAAATAAAAAATCGGAGTTGGGTTCAACTATGCATTTGTTTGTTCACTGTTTTGTTTTAAACAATGCAACTGTTCTACTATTATTGACATAAAACAAAATACATATCAAGACCAACCTTTATCGAATAAACTAACCTAATAAAAAACAGACAGCATTTCGCTTAACGAGTGAGGATGAGAAGAAAAGTCCGCGCCTGCTACATCATTTTTAAAACTTGTGTACACATATTGTGTGTATTTTTGAATATGTTTCAATATACGAGTAAAAATCCGCAAATTTTGGAAAGGATTAAACTCGTTAAGCGAGGTTCCACTGTATATTCAAAATACTCTGACGACTGATGAAAACTATACGACATAGTACATTAGTAGTTGATGGGTTTTTTAAATAATTAAACTATCATTAAAAAAATGAAATAATTAGGAAATATTACTTAAAAATTATATAATGAAATGAATAATTTATTGTAAACTTATTAAAATTTGTAACTGCGATCTAGAATAATGAAATGAACAGATTCTTTCTATAAGTTAATAATTAACAAAAATATACATAATTTAACTATACATTCACACATAACAAGGTGTTAGAATTGTTTTATTATATAATAATTAGTATATTTGTTAAAATATAACAATTTAATTTCGGTGTGTCTAATCATGATTTTTAACATAATTTTTGAACATTTCTAAAATCATCAATCAAAGTATACTTGCATTAATCATATTATAAATATATTTTTTATTGTAATTTTATGAAATGTTTATTGAAATCTTTTATATATTCACGAATTTTAAACGAAAATATCATATATGATGAATTCTTAAAAATTTCAATCTTTACTAAAGCAAGATTACATTTGCTCCCACACAAAATGAGACGAGTTTAAATGTATTAAAATAGGGGAGGGCCACGATTCTCATATCTCTCTTTCTCTTTTTTATTAATCCTAGCAACGAGACGAAAATTGAATTGGGGTTTTCTCCCGGAACGTAGAATATGCGTGCATTTAATTATTCATCTTCCCATTCGACACCCTCTCACAGCATTCTCTGCCATAATATGTTTGAATGCTTGTAAAAATGAATCTCATTTTTTTTTGTTTTTCTTAATTATTCATACGCTCGTATTCATGTGCATACGAATTCGTTGGATCAATGAGTTTCCACTAGGTCGCGCAAATATTAGAACGCGAAATTATTCATGATGAAATCGGATTCTGGCTGTAGACAACGAGCGTTGCATAACGCTGCCTGCCATTACTAATCTAGTTTTTGGGGTGGAAGGTCGACGCCTTTAATATTCGTTTTATCGATATCCTCCACGGATGTTACGTAATTTGTATTTGCTTAATGAAATTTAATTAATTTTGTCGTTTTATTTTTGTCTCGTGAGATTGATTTGGTGTTAACGTAATTTGGCAGGATCTTGAAAAGTAGGTTACAATTTGTTATTTTACTGCGCGATGAGATTATCTAATTATTTGAATTGCATTATCTCATAGTGCGGGTAATCGGTTTCGCCAATATCAGGGACTGTTGGATTCGAGGACATAAACATAAATAGTACAAAATGAGACTTGACTGTTAAAGCAAAAAATCTGATGATTTATGTAGACAATTTATTTAGAATTTATTTTTACTTAGATTTGAAATTTTTAAACCGTGAATCAGCACTGATTGAAACCGCACTATGCGAGTTATTGGTGTATATCTAAAATTAACTAAGTAATTTAATTAAACAATAACAAAATGCATAAAAGTATTATCTACTGAAAACCACAGATAAACGTTTTCTTTTATAAAAACAAAACTTTGTTACAATTTCAGACTGTCAATTTTCTTATTTAGTGCTGTCCTGTTTTGTCATGGAACCAATAATTATATATTTAGTTAAATTAAATGTCAATGAAAAATACCCTATTATGTTGTTTTGCTCATAACTTTTATTGAGGTTATGATAAATTTAATTTGATTTTTTTTTAATGATGTGTCAAATTTTAATTTATCTTCATAATTTGAAACTTCTACTTTTTATATAAAAAGTTTTTTTTTAAATATGAAGTTTCTTTCAAGAAATACAATAAAATGATAACGTTGTTGTATTAACATATGTCTTTATGTCAACTTTAATTTGATAAACTTGTAGTAAATGTCAAATTTTACATATTTAATTTACATAATATTGGTTGAAATCCGTCAATTTGACAGTTCAGATATCATAAATTTGTTTAATTTTTAGAATATGGAATAAGTTTAAGGAAAATACCCAATAGACCAAAGGTTCCCAATTTTTCTGTGTCGTAGACCCCTTGACATGTTTTTCGGTTTTGGGTAGACCCCCTACTTACCTGATATTGATTTTTTTGCAAATTTCTCACTGTAGTGAAGTTTAGTGTTAAAAACTTAAAGTAAAAACACATGTTAAGTTTTATACATAAATTAAAACTACTCAAAATAAAATTTTGTATCTGTTATATAAAATATACATAACATAAAATAAACTAAGCAATAAGTAAATGTTTTTACTGAGAAGGATGAACCTGATGTTTTAATACTAAATTATCAACATTTGGCGTCAATTTTTGTAAGGTTTAATCTTAAATCTCCTCGGCTAATGATGTCCAGTCTGTTTCTTTTTTTTGTTAGGAGATTGGTAACAGCGCAGAACCCCTTTTCCACTAGGCATGACGATGGAAAG